AGGGCAGTGTCACTGGCCCTCACATGTGGGATCCGAACCGGGGCCCTCTGGCGTCCCAAGCCAGTTCTTAACCATCGCGCCACTCGGCCGGCCCCTCCAGTATTCTATTAATTAAATTTTAAACTACAGTGTCTGTAGTTATGTGTTCCTTTTTACTTAGATATTCACAAAATTAAAGAAACCTTTGTTGTTATGGAAAATTTCAAATATGCCCGAAGTAGAGTATGGTAAAATGCTTGACTGCACCTGCTAAAATAAAATATATATACACACACATAAATGATATAATAAATATATAGAATTTCCAGAAGCATGTAGAATCTTGCAGTATTTTATTTTATTATTATTATTTTTTAGCTGAGCCATCCTGCCACCTGTTGGCAGCTCAGCAGCAGCTCAGCTCAGGAATCAAACCGGCGACCCTGTTGCTCAGAGCTCGCACTCTTCTTGAACGAGCTCTTAACCAACTAAGCCACTCTGCTGGCCCCTTTGCAGTATTTTAGATAGGAGCTGATGACGTTTTGCATTGCAAACTAACTGGTGTGTGTGTGTGTGTGTGTGTGTGTGTGTGTGTGTGTGTGTTGAAACAAAGAAGTACTTCCAAAAAAAGAACAGTGATTTAAAAATAAATTATTTTTGCCATAATTCACATAGTAGATAAATATTATCAAACATAGTACTAATCAAGTCTGCTTATTAGGAAAACTGAGCAAACATCTAAAATGTTATATTTCTCCTTAAAAGTATGCCGTTTCAGTGTGCTCTAACATCAGGACCACTTGGGAAGCTTGCAAAAATACCGATATTGGGGTCTGGGGAGGGGCCTGTGTTCCCAGGCTACGCTGCTGGTCCAGGACTACGGTGAGAACCGCAGCTGTAAACTAGTCTTCGCACACCTGGGGTAGGGGGGAGAAGAGAATGAGTGTGAGTGTGAATGTGAGTGAGCAGGTAGCCAGGCTGTTGGGCTAGCTGATAGAACTGCTGTCCAGACAACTGCCAGTGCTATGGAAAGGTCATGTACGGTAACCATGAAACCATCATTATTTCAGACACAGTCCTAACATTTACCTTTTGAAATATTCCACTTCCCTCTCTGTCTCATCCATGTCCACACTGTCTAGGTCGATATCTTTAGGCAGAAAGACATCATCTGTAAAATGAGAGGAAAGAGGCATGTCAAATTACAAGAGCAGGCCAGCTTATCGGAATAGAATTCTGGCTTTACTTAAGTTCCAACTTCACAAACTAAAATTTTTTCTAAAATGAGATTTTACAAAAGGCCAAAAGAGGGCAGATCTGTCTCGTGTGCGTGTAAACATCTGGGTCCAACGTGGCAATTATGGAACTCACACATTTTTGAGCAAAGCAACCACCACTGCTTCAGATCCCACTGGAAGAGACCCATTTGCGGGCACCTGATTCCCCAAGTGATCCGTCATTAACCAACGGTCTCCACGGTGAGAGGCCCTGAGAAGGTCCCTGGAAGCCTAAGCTGCATGCAAACCCAGAGGCTGTCGCACGTCCCTGCTGGAGGGAGGGAGGAAGGGGAGTAGGGCACAGTGGTCAACAGAAGCTGCCAGAAGGCAGGCCCATGAGGAGGGCAGCGCTGTCCCTTTAGGTGCCCTCACAGTAAGAGGACACGACTGTACCCAAGACCCAGATAGCAACTCTGGGGCATTCACTTTATATGTGCAGCATCCGAGAGACCACATCAAAAACTTTTCAGGCCGTTCAATAAAAAAGCAAGGCTCTATTTCACTTTGTAGTTCTATAACCCTCTCTGAAGACAGGAAGGAGTAGGGAGGCCACTGATTCAGGATTCCACCACGTCTGAGCCTTGAGCACAGTGGGGCTGCTGTGAGCTGTGTGCACAGCGCCGGCCCCACCAGAGAAGGAGACCACTGACGCCCTGGTGAAGGCGCGTCTCCACGGCCCTGCAGACCGCAGCATGGGATCAGCTTTCGGAATCTTAAATCCCTTTTCTCCCTTTCCTAAGAAGCACTGGGGTGCTTGTTCCCACAGGAGCACCATCAAGGCACGCTGTACCTGCGCAACAGCAGCTACTGCTCTCGACGGCTCGCAGCACCTTCACCGCAGAGCTTCCCCTAAGGACGTGCACGGCCACATGGCCATGTCTCCCCCTCCCACCCACACCTCCGGCACCCAGAGCTCCACACACTAGGTCTTCCTCCTCTGCACCATCCCTCCTTCTCTCCGCCGTATCCCTGTGGTTTCAGCTACACCTGGACACCACACCACCAAACCTCCCTGGACCTCTTCGTGAGGTCCGTCCATAAAGCCACCTCCTCCATACATCTACCTTTCAGGCATCCGACCTAGCCGCCTCCTTTTCTTACAGTGAACTAGAAATAATCGTCCCCACCTCCCTTCCGCACCCTCAAGTCACGCCTTCCACCATGTCAGCAAGTTCTGGCAAATACTTCATGCTGCCCCCATCCTGCTGCCACCTCCCAGCCAGGCTACTCGGTTGTCCCTGGCTTTCGCCTGCATGGGGTCATCCTGCGACATGTCTGACCGCAGCACACCACTAAGGCGATTCCGTGGGGGCCTCACCTGCTGCTATCTGCTCACTGAGGCCCTGACTGAGGCAGGGCGAGGTGAGCAGGCATGTTTACAGAGGTCAAAGGGCCCAAGACAGCACAGTCTCCACAGTCGTTCCGCAATAGTCCTACAAGAGGAATAACTACAAAAGCCACCAGAGCAGGCAGTTCTGCTGGAGATGCTGTCGTAATAAAGCACTCTTCAATAATCCTTTCTCATTAGAACTGCCGTGTTTCCCCGAAAATAAGACCTAGCCGGAGAAGAAGCCGTAGCATGATTCCTCCAGGGTATGGAGGGCACACACCCCTCACATGAGGGCTTTATGACCTGTTTCAGGGAGAAGGGCACCTTTTCCACAAACTCCTTCAGCTTAAAATAGTCAGTATGCCAAGGTGCCATATTTTGGCACCTAAAATCATGCGAGGGCTTCTTTTTTGGCTAGGTCTTATTTTTGGGGAACCAGGGTAATCATCGGTATTGAAAAGCTTGGTATAAGGAAAAAAAAGAGACAGAACTATAACCAGATTCAATATCGGGAAAACATTTTTCATAACAAAACTACACTAACTAAAGTGGACAAAAGTATGACCTAAGAATTTCAGGCTGTCTATTCATTGTCAAGACCGTAGGCGATGGCTCCTTCACCAGAGCTCAGAGAATTCTGGGCCCGAGCCCCACCTGCGTACACACGCCCAAGGGTGTGCTCCACCCAACCAGGAGGCCGATGGGACACCTAAGCAGGAGGACCAGTGTGAGCATTTCACGTATTTAATTGTGGACCTATGTTTATTATGTGTCCTGACAAATCAGAAATAAGGCAGCTGAAGTCTTTTTCTTCGCTGGCTTCTTCAAAGCTGTTACCCAGGAAGTAAGTGGGTGAGACGACCTCACCTAAAGCAGCAGGAACTAGGATGGGGCAAGAAAGGTGTAAGTGGGGAGCAGTGCATTAGGACAAAACACCAAATGCCAAAGATTTTTTAGAAATAATAGAGTGAAGGAAACACACCACATATAGAAAGAAATAGCAAATACACCTAGTAATTATGAAGTCATGTCAGGGTTAAGACCAACCAAATAGTGACATCCATAAATGGCAGTGGCCGTAACTCACCTACAGAAGATTTCCAGTGGGCCTCACCCAAAGCGAGACTCAGGGCTATGCTGCACACAGAGAATGACAGAAAACCAAGTGGCTCAGAAATGAAAGGATGAGGACAGAGATGCCTCACAAGGCAAAGAGAAACAGAAAGAAGGAGCAGCAATTGCCATCTTGGATATAGTAGAAGAATTCAAGCCAGAAGCACAACAAAAAGGACATTTTTAAATACTAAAAGCAACAATTCATTAAGAACAAAGAGGAAAAAAGCAGAAATTCCAGACCCACGTCCACATGGACATTTAGTGTAGCAAAGGTGGCACCCTGGATCACTAAAGCAAGATGAGCTTTTTAATAACTAGCACGGGGACAATTGGCTAACCATTTGGAAAAAGATAAAACTGGACCCATACCTCACATGACACACAAGAATAAATTCCAAATACATCAGTGAGCTAAACAAAAAAAGTAAAACCACACAAACACTAGAAGAAAACGTGGACACATTCTTTAACGTCAGTGTTGGGGTAAAGCTTTCTAACAATTATTTAAAATCCAGAAGCAATAAAAGATGGATGGATTAACTACATAATATTAAAGAAACAAAACAAAACGAACTTCTGCATGGCTAAAAAGCATCATAAACACAGAACACAACCTATGACCTGGGAGACTGTAACGCAGCATGTAATGCAGTTAAAAGGATGTCGGGCCAGCCAAGTGGCGCGTTGGTTAAGAGTTGGCTTGGGACGCCAGCTCTGAACAGCAGGGCCCCGGTTCAGATACCACATGGGCCAGTAATGCTAAGCCCTCTACAGCTAAGATGGTGAACAATGGCTTGACCCGGAGCTGGGCTGTTATGAGTCGCCGGCGATGGTGTGGGCTACAGTGGGGCTGGCCGGCAGCTGGTGTGAGTTGTTATGAGCTGCTGTGAGTGGCCGTCCAATGGCCGGGGAGCGACTGCCTCACCCAGGAAGAGCGCAATGATAATACCAACATGTGCCAGTGAAGCGGTGTCCTCCACAACTAGACTGAAGGACAAAAGGATAGCAACTTGTCTGTTCCCCTTCCCCAATTTCCCAATGCTGTCCCCCTCCCCCAACTCCCCAATAAAATCTTCAAAAAAAAAAAAAAAAGGATGTCTCTAGTATATACAGGACCCCTAAAAATGGAAAACAGTAAAAATGAGAAAAAGATATAAATAGGAAATTCACAAAAAAGATCTGCAAACAGACCTTACAACTATGACCTCACTATAATTAGAGAAAAACCACAAATGAACAGTACGCTGTAACCCAATTTCGAGTAATGGACTGGCTCGTGATACAAAGCCTGACATGCTTTGTGGCAAGGCTGTGGGAACCAGGCATGTGATGGGAAAGCAATGGTCGGTGTGCGGAACTCAGTGAGATCTAGCAAAACCCTTTCCGCACTTCTTTCTGACCCAGCAGCCCCCTTCTGGGAAGTTGCTCTGAATAAACATCTCCAGACAGGAAAACACATGCACAAGAGCGTCTCCTGCGGCACCATGTCTGTGGGACAAGCAGTCTGGGAGGGCAGACCCAGTATGCTTTAGATGAAGCACTACGCAGCCGTGAGACAATGGGGATGAGCTCTGTGAACCGATACGGAGTGGTGTCCAGAACATACTGAGTGGGGAAAACAGAAAAGAGTATCTTTAGTCTGCTACCTTCCGTGTAAAAAGGAAAGCAAATTAGAAACCACGTTACCTGCAGGAAGTGGGTGGGAATGAGACAGAGAAAAACTAGAATTGGGAGGAGAAATAAAACAAAGTGGAATGCCAACAAAGGGACCCACTGCATTTCAACAAGTGACTGTCACTGTGCAGCACTGCACTATAGCCACGCGTGTGCTCTGGGGAAGGGCTAATCCCAAATACCTGCAAGCTAAAGGAGAGGGACTGTGACTACATACTGAGGACAAGTTCACTGTTTCTCCCAGTGCAGAGGGTGAGCGGTTCTGAGGCTACGGATGTGCAGGACTGAACAAGTCAGAAACACCGTCCGAAGTCTGAGACGGGAGTAGCGAATGTGGATGGGGGATGCCTGGGGTGGGGGTGGGGGATGGCACTGGAGCCATTAGTGAGAGCTCGTGTCTTTCATTACAGAAATAGACTTGCCCCCCCCCCCAGCTCTATCAACTGCAGGGGCCTAGAAGCAGTAACCCACCAGGAGTGCCCAGGTCTGCGCTAAAAAGAACCAGGGCTCCTTGGATAAGTGGCAGGTTCGGGCTGGGGTGGGGAAAGAGCAAGATGAGTTTGGAAAGTATGACAGGGCTTCAGAGTCACAAGGTCAAGGGGCCACGGACGGAGTCACAGTAAATGGGTTAGTTAGCAAAGAACTGGAGTCTATAGCACAGACTAAGAATCTAAGAATCCACCCTGACATAAATAGCCACATGAATGAAAAGAATACGTGAGGAGAAGGAAAGCTCTGGTTATAGCAGAATGCCAAATAGGAAATGCAGAAGGAATAACAGAAAAACCACTATTTGGCAGACAACACAGTAATAGCCACTTCAGGCAAGAATCGTCAATGGATGCTCAACTACCAGGTGAACGTGTGATAAAAAAACAAGGTTTGTCTCCCCGTAAGATGTGTACGCGTTAGTCTGACAGTGGAGGGACTGGGGAGCCACCCCCTCAACCCCAGGCCCAGTGATGACGCCCGCAGACGTCACACCCTCCTGTTCGCCCACCACTGCCATGGCAGCACTGCCGGAAATACACAGTCCGACTCCGATCGTGAACAAATGCACACAAACCTAATGAAATTACCCTAAAAAGTAGGCTGTATTTGTTAGAAATGTCAAGGTTGTGAAAACCAGGAACTGACCCCATGAAAGGAAATTAGAGATATGACACATAATCCTGTGTCAGGAGAAACAACACTAAGGTTTTTCCCGCCCAAGGACATTAAAGTGACCGCTGGAGAAGTAAGAGTAAGGTCTATAAAGAGACAATGATACTGAAACGTGGCAACTTCTTGCTTTTGATAACTACTGTTTCATAGGCGAGTACCCTTGTCTTGAGGAAATACACACTGAAGTGCTTCAGGGTAGCGGGGCGCCATGTCTGAAAGTACTCTCGTTTGGTTCAGAAAAAACGCAAAGGGAGAGGGAATGAGAAAGCAAACGTGGTAGCAAGCCGGCTGGGGGCATCTGTGTGACAGGAATTCTTTGTACACTCCGGCAGTTTTGGGAAATCTAAAAGTATTTCAAAATAACAAAATCTAACAACGGCTCTTTGTCCCTCCTTGTTGGTGACAGGCCACAAAGCACAAAGCGAGGACAGCTCAGATCTACAGGAGGGGCAGCCTGAGGGGACATCGGCCCTGCTCCCTCATCTCGCTACAGGTACACACAGACGCGGGGGCAGCGGCCACACAGACTCCCCTCGGCTCCGTATTTACCGATCGAGCTGCTCGCTCTGTCTCCCTTCTTCTTCTTGTTTTTCTTGCTCTTGCCCCTGGGCTGCGGGGAGTCAGCCAGCAGCAGCTTGCCGCCATGCGCGAGCTCGCTGGGGGAGGCGGGCTCCGCGGGGCCAGGGAGCCACTTGTCTTCCTTGACGTGGTTCAGCTTCCTGCTGTTGTTACTGCTGGCTTTCCTCTCCTCTCGCTTCGGCTCGGCCAGGGCCGGGGGCTCCAGCAGTTTGGCCTTGGGCTCTGCCTGGGGCCGGGGTCTGGGCTGGCCCTCCGCGGCTCTGGGGGGCTCCGCGGGCTTCCGCCCCGGCTCGCTGCTCGCTTTCCCGGCCTGTTTCAGCTTCGGTCGGCTCGTGCCCTCCTTGTGCTGGTGCATCATGTCCAGGAGAAAAGACAGCGGCTCCTGCGGTTTCCCACTGGCCTCCTTCGGGAGGAGGAGCTCGGAGTCCCTAGTGGCCGTGGGGTCCGCCGCGTCCCCATCAGCCCCCGGCCCCGGCCTGGGCTCTGTGTGCTCGGCGTGTCTGGAAGGGGAATGAGATGAGGTTTCTGGTTCTGCAGTTTGCTCTAGGGAGCCATTGTGGATGTTTCCGGAGTCAGGCACAGACTCTGCTGCTTCCTGGAAATCTCTAGCGAGCATGTCCAACTTGGGGCAGTCTTTGCTGGGCCTTTCCTTCTTCTTCTTCTTCACAGCTCGGAGCTTCTGCAGCTCCTGGAGCCGCTGCAGCTCCTCCTTGAGCTGCTGCTGCTCCCCCTCCCGCCGCCTCTGCTCCTCCCGCAGGTGCAGGTGCTCCCGGGCCCGGGCCTCGGCTTCGAGGCGAGCCTTCTCCTCCAGCTGCCAACGGGAGAGGAAAGGGGATTGAAGAAAGCAAGCTGTGAGTGTTGTAAAAACTAAGACACAGAAAAATAAGACGGTTTGAAAAACAAATCATGTAATAAGAACATAAACTCTGAAAGGGGCTATCAGAGGCCAAAGCCATTAGTTATTAAAACACACCTACCGAGTTACTTTTCTCGGTACAATTATTAGACCTGATCTATTAGACTCGCCGAGGCCCACACTAGTCCTGCTGGGTGCGTGGCAGGAAGCTCCTGACAGCCCCTGCCTGGTGCTACACACAGAACACAGGGTGGAAGCGGGGCCGTGCTCCTGCCAGCTGCTCTGCCCAGCGTGGGCTGGGGTGGGGGTGGGGGTGGGGGGACACATGCTGCACACGTGCTGCCAGGATGCTTGGCGAGCACACACTTTCAAGTGCAGGCTGGTGTAGTTACGTGTCAAAAGGACATTCAAGAAATGTGTACTAAAAACTGGAAAGCCCCTTTCCCCCCCAGCAGATAAGCAAATTTCCCAATCCATTTTAACTAGTGTGACAGAGCAAATGACTGTCTAAAACTGTCAGCATTACATGGCAAACAGATAATGGTTATTTCTGCTGCCTAACGTGCCAGGAAATAAATTTTCATCCAAGTGAAGATTTTATTTTTATTCTTGGTACGTATTCCAGGAGCATAAATGGCAACGATTCCTTGGGTTTAGAAAACAAGTGGAAGCCCTTCGGGTAGGAGCCTGGCTCCTCCTGTCGCGTGGCTCCAGGGAGGCTGTGTTTGGAAGAAACTGGCAAACACATTTTGCATGGGAAAATTTAAAGTCCTTCCAAGTACTAGATTCCCCCATGTATAAGACGCACCCGTCTTTGAAAAATTTGGGGTCTCAAAACTGAGGGTCTTTATACAGTGGTTGTAGATTTTTTTTTTTTTAAAGATTTTATTGGGGAGTTGAGGAAGGGGAACAGCGCTGGGGAATCAGGGGAAGGGGAACAGACAAGTTGCTGTCGTTTTGTTCTTCATTCTAGTTGTAGAGGATGTTGGTTCACTGGCCCAAGCTGGCACCATCAATGAGCTCTTCCCGGGAGAGGCAGATCAGTCGCTGGCGACTCACGGAAGCCCAGCTCCAGGCCGAGCTGCCGTTCACCATCTTAGCTGTGGAGGGCAGTGTCACTGGCCCTCATATGTGGGATCCGAACCGGGGCCCTCTGGCGTCCCAAGCCAGTTCTTAACCATCGCGCCACTCGGCCGGCCCTGGTTGTAGATTTTTTTACTCGTATTTCCCACTGAGGACGAGGCAATATATGAAGACAGTGATTTGTCATCAGACACAGATGAGGACAAGCTAATGGGCGGGAGTTTTGACAGTGATGAGGAATTGTATGAATTTTATGATGAATAAAACTTGAGTTCAATAACTTTATGTAATACAATTTTTTTTTCAAATTTCGGGCCCCAAAATTAAGGTGCGTCTTATACATGGGATCGTCTTATACATGGGGAAATATGGTAAATTATTTTTCACAATATTTCCGTGGGCATTATTATTCTTTTATTTTTAAAATTAGTTTCAGGTGTACAACACAGTGCAATAGTTATACTTTTTACCCCTCAAAGTGACAACCCCCCTCCCCCAATGGTGGGCATTATTTTAAAAGAGACAACTTATCTTTTTAAAAAACTTAAATATGAAACATGTTAAAAAACAAATGGCAGTTTTTTCCAGTCAATTTGACAACTCAAGTACAAATTACTTGATGCCCTGCTCCATCTGATGAAGAGAAGCCTCCCTGGAGGGGGAGCCCCCCACGGCTGCCCCACAGGCACAGGTCTACGGGTGAGCCTGCCCTCAACAACGAGCCAGTCAGTGGCAGGCAAAGTAGGCTTGCGGGTTGCTCTATGAAACGTGTGCTACGTAAAAAACACGCGGGATGCAGGTGGGTGCTGAGGGTAACCTGGGACGGGTCTGAAGGGGATGAGGCATGAAGTCGGGATCCAGACCGCCTGCAAGGACGGGGGACAGGAGTCCAGGGTGGGGCCACCCCTGGAAAACACTACAACGAACCTAGAGGGTCCTAATGACTCCCCTGGGACGTCTCCAGGGCCTTGGCCCACCCTGGGACCTCCAACTGGAACGCTGGTAACACTTCCGGGGCGGGGAGGGGAGGGGCGAGGGCAGCAGAGCAGGCCACCTCCTAAAGCCCCTGGTTAGGCCTGATGCTCCGTTTCGGGGCTGAGGTACCAGCAGGCTCCTGATGAAGCCGCTTAGCAGGACAATCGCAGCTCTCAGGCTCACACGGCTGGACGTGTGGCCCAAATGCTGGTCCCCGTGGGGATGTCCTCGTCCTCTCACACCTCTGTCTGATGTTCCAGGGACCTCACCTCCCCCCTGAGCATCCCGTCCTACTGTTAGAACCCTTGTAACCTTTCCAAGTTCCCCCTGAGCCCAGATCTGCCTGCTGTGGTCTGGCTCCTGGAGCCTGACAGCTTGAGGTGGCTGCAAGCAGGAAGGTGTGTGGACCGCAGTACAGGGGCTCGGTGGGGGACCCCTGAGAGGACTGGGGAAGGGGGGGGCGCCTCACAGAGCAGGTGCTGTTTCCATCACTTTCAGTATTAGCAGGAAGGCAGGAATACAATTTCTCAGTTACTAGCATAGTGTCTGAACATTCTATGTACTCGCTGGACCAGAGGTCAAGTCCAGTCACAGTCCCACACTGGGCGAGCCTGCCTCGTCCTGGCAGACATATGCTTCCGTGACATCCCATGCCCTGTGGTGAGGTGGGGACTGCTCAGGGCTCCCACACAGCCGTCATCTCCCTCTTCCACCCTCGGCACCACTTCTGGAATAGCCTGATGCTTCTCTGCCTGTGGGTGAGACGAGGAGCCCGGGCCACCGCTCAAACCTGTCAGCGGATGCCACTGTGCCAAGGGCCTTGTCCCAGCCTCGTATCCAAGTCACTCCTTCAGCCACAGTCTCCAAAGCTCACTGCCACCCCCCTCAAAACCCAAGGGCTCCTTCCTCTGCTTCCCTGGGACAGAGGGTCTGCTGCCCCCATGAGAGCCTGAGGTTTGTTTCCGATCCATCATCAAAGCCGTGACACGGAAGGGAGAGCACGTGCTGCAAACCCAACGTGGGGCTTTTAACCAGCGTCCGTTCAGGCCACCAGAGAGTCAGGGGCTGCTGCTGCAACACTGTGGGAGACCCGCTCCAAGCCCATGAGCCCCCGCGCTGGGCCCACAGACGCCAGGTTACCTTTCTCTGCTTATGCCTCGCCCGCTTGGCTGCGCGAGAGCTGCTCACTGGTTTGGTCTCTGAGCTGTTGATGAACTGCAGCAAGTCCTCCACCCTTCGGTGGTCCACCACACTCTCCCTCTCCGAGAGCTGATCAGTTTTCTTAGGCTGCTCTTCCTTTCTCTTGGTCAGCCGTAAACGAAGCTTTTCCCTCATTTCTGCGTAATTTCTACTTGTTGGTGCAGCTGGAGGCTAAGACAATGTAACGGCACACAACAAAATCAAGCCTAAAGTTTTAATTATTTTGAACATAACAAACTGCAGACCATATTTCTAAAAATTAATTTCTTCTTTTTACTCAAGTAATACCTATGCACCAGGAAATAAGGAAATAAGGTCAACAAATGGCAGGAAAAAGGAAGTTTATACATTCATGAGAAATCAAGTAAAGAATGTATAACTATGTACAAAAATGAGTCTTTTTAAATAGAAAAAGACATAACTACACATACTGATTAATATACTTTTTATGTAATACAGTGTCACTATCTTCATGCCAGCGTGTTTGTAGTATCTTTTTATCCATTTGTAGGATTCCTTTACAGTGCTGAAAAGAAAAAACACTGCCCTCAATCTCACTGCCAAAATTTCTTACAAACTACTAAACCCATGCGCATTGTTTAGGAAATGCGGCCAGAAAAAGAACTCCCCTGGCTTTCCTGCCTCCCGCTTCCCCGCTCCCCGCCCCCGCCCCCCCAGGCCCCATGACTGGTGTTTGCTGGTATAGATGAAAGATTATTCTGGAAAGTATGTGAGTGTATCAACATCCTTTGTACTCAAGAGACGGGTAACCATACACGCATCGCGGCGTCCCACGGTACGCGGACTATCTGGACGCTGTAAACGCCCACGGCTGGTACTCAGCAGGCCCCCATCCCACCAACTATTTCGAAAGTCATAAACATATGCAAAAACACCATGAGAACATCCTTGCAGCTAACTCTTTGAGCAAATCTTTCTCTTCATATTTTTAGAACAAGTCCAACCCGAAAGTGGAAGTGTAGTTTCCGGCCATGTCTGGATTTGAACTACACGGCAAATGAAGTTTTACGCACAACATAACCACACCTGGAGTCAACCCAGCATCCGGGTCTCGCAGAGGAGCTCGCATACACACAGTTCCCACAGAGACATGCACCTGACACGCACCCATCAGCAGAGGCCCCGCCCCCCAGGCAGGGCTGTGGGCACTTACCCCGCCATGCCCGAAGAATTCACAGTAGCAGCAGTCACAGTACTTGCCCTCCTTCTGGTTAGTGGAGGTGGACGTGCTGGAGCTGTGCTCCGAGCAGCTGTCCTCGTCCGCACTCTCGTCCCCGTCGTCCTGCTGCGGGTCGTACACGCCATTCTCGCAGCGGTGCCCTTCACAGTCGGGGTCACTGCCAAAATGCACAGGCCTGTTCACAAGCAGCTCGTCCCCTGGAGGGCACGGGCACTGTGTGGCAGGTGAGGCTCTGGTCCTTGCTGCCAGGGGCTGCCCTGCCCTGTCACAGACGGGAGCAGGGTGCACAGGGCAGCACGGCCTACACGGACATCGGTCACAGGAAAGGTGGGTAGTGACGGGCAAGGTGGTACATGGAGGCACGTGGACAGGCAGCGCACACAGTAGTCTCTGCACTGTCCCTCCCATCACTTCATCCTGAGTGTGGGGTGGGATGGCTCCAAACAGGCCAGCTTGAAGGTAACAAAAGCTGTCTTTTAAAAGGAACCTTTTGTGTGTTTGTTGTGTTGTACTTCGCTTAATGCACAGCAATAGTAACTTACAAGACACCCAAGGCCCACCCCAACGTTGCCAGTGGTTACATGGTGGTCTGCACACCCGTCTATGGGGGACCCTGGCTCTGCAGAACTAGAGGCTGAGACTGGAGCCCACCCTTCGGCCTACGGCCTCTGCTGGGCACATCCTTGCCTGCTGCCCTTTACTGGGCTGGTCAGCTGCACGGTGCTAGGGCACAGAGCTGCTACAGCCGTTATACGGTGTTAGGGCGCATGGCACCCCATTTCCACAGTGCTCCAGCCCTCACCCCCAGGACCCGGGCTTACCTGCAGACGCTGGGAGGCGCGCTAATGGAGCCATCCGTGGCGGGGGGCGGGGGGCCCACCGAAGCAGGACAGAAGCTCTTGCGTGACTCCACAAAGCTGGGAGACGTGACTGCAGTTTTGGGGAAGGTTGGGGCTGCAAGACTGGCAAGGTGAGGCGTGGGGCCTGGTGGCAGGGCGGCAGGAGCGAGGGCAGGAAGCGGAGCCAAGCCCGTGGGGCTGTTCCTCGGGGCGGCTGGCACGGCATGCCTGTGGTCCTCCTTGTTGACGCCATGGAAGACCTCACCTGCATTGGGACACGACAGCCATATCAACAGCTGGAGTCAGACACACACTCATGCTTCTTTTACTTATAACTCTGTACCGGTTTTTGTCTGAAAAATGTTTAAATCCATCAAGAATGTGAAGGACCAGTACAAAGTGCCCATTAGCCTTCCCTGGAGTCGTCACTCTGGAACGCTCTGTCACGTACGCGACTGGACACACGCGCACTTTGTGGCTGAGCATTCGGAAGAGGCTGCTCCGTCCCCACACGCTTCCTGAGAGCACGCGTGCTGCAGCCGCACCACGTGGGCACAGCAGGCTCTTACACTGCCTGACTCCTCTACGCGCCACCCTTACCCAGCACTGGGTTTCCCCACGTGCCACTGTAGCTTCTCCCCCAACTTAGCCTCTTTTAACTCTGTTCCCTTTCACGACAGTGACACCTTTGGAGTCCGAGCCAGCTGTCCACCCGTCTGGACTTAGTACACTCAGCTGACCCGCCTTGGGCATGAAGCCTGCTAAGGTCATGCTGCATCCTTGTAGTCTGAGTGTCACTTTGTCCTTGGCGGTGAGGTTACATCTGGTCAGATTCCCCCAGCAACAGGCACCTGTCCTCCTTACTTGTGGGTGCTGCTCCCCGACAGGAGGGGCAGTGTTCCCCACACCGATGTGCAGTATCCCCAATGCCCACGGACGGTGCTTCCCCCTTCTGTGGCTCTTGTGGGTGCAGCGACAGTGATCTGCTGTGAGGAAGGCTCTCCACCTAACTCCCGTCTGGAGCAGCCAGGAGGGTCCCTGACTCTGATTGTGTGCCACAAGCCATTCCTTTCTTTATTGTCTGTGATGTGCAAAGGGTCCTAACTCTGGCAGGCGGGGCCCCTTTGAGCCAGCCCCTATGTGATCCTCTGTAACCTGCCTCTGGCCTCTAATGGCTCTTCCTTGCTTTCAGGGCCCTTCTCGCTGTGCTCAGATCAGACAGTGAAAACGACACCCCTGTACACTGGCAGTCTGAGTGGTAGCAGGGCTGCATGCACTGTGCTCTGGGCAGCGGCCCCACAGGCTGGTTCTCTCGAGGTTTCAGCTTTTGGGTGAGCAACAACCCCGCTGATGCTCAGGCCAGGAGGCGCAGAGGCAGGCGGGCCCCATGTGGCCAGGCCCCAGAGCGGATCAGTGGGACCGGAACTGTCTGGGCGTGAACTCTGCTAACGAAACCTCCACCCCTGTGCACAGTGACCCTGCTGACCCCCCGGACCCCACTGGCCAGCTGCCAGGCCTTACCTATGGAAGGAGGCCTCTTGGACGCCACTTTGAACTGGCTGTTGCTAGACTGCACCGTGGTGGCCGTGCAGGACACGGAGGAAGTGGCTGACGAGGTGGCCATCACAACTTTGTTTGCTTCCATGAAAGCATCTTGGAAGTTGTACAAACATTTCTTTTTTGTAGCATTTTTTTTCTCTTTACAATCCGAAATTGCAGGCGTTTCACTGCTAGGTGGAGGTGGAAGGGCTTCGGGTCTTGTTTCTGAGAGTGTTGGCCCTAATATGTCACTGCCTTCAGAGAAGAATGGGAAAGTTAAGGCTTCTACAAAGGCATAAGATTTAGCCAAAACCTAAAGGATGTCTGCTGACTAAACTCCTGATACTGGGGCTGCTACCGAAGTTAGGAGTCCACTGGGATGATGCTGGTCAACTAGTTTTTATGTAAGAAAAACAATTCTGAGCACCTACTATGTGCCAATTCCTGTGCTAGGTGCTTCCCCAAAGTTATTTAATGTCTTAAAACTACTTTCTGAGCATGGTACTGTAATTCCCATCCTCAAGATGAAGAAACTGAGGCTCAGAGAAGCTAAGCAACTTGCCCAAGGTCACACAGCTAGAAACCCTTTCCAGGCACAGACCAGATGTTAAGTCTAGCTTGCTGTTCTGAGCACATGCAGGGGCTGGGTGTGGGGCCACCAGGGGCTCTAACCGTTCACATGAAGACAGAGATGAGGCATAGGTACCAGCCCCTCTTCAGGTGCCCCGCTACTGAGGTAACAGCTGCGCCTGGCAGCGGAGGCTGCTGGCAGGAAGGAGCTTGTCAGAGGGGACACGTCCCGTGTGGGGTCAATACAGAAATACAGGAAAGGAAGGTAAGTCACAACATTCAAATCGACTGTGGCACTGTCGCGCTGACTGTGTACTGGGGTGAGGTCTGGGTGTCACACTGCTGGAGAACCCTGGGAACAAGATGCTCAGCAGCGCTGGGGCAGCAGAGACCCCAGCATCAGCGAGGCCCAGCGCGGCTGCAGTGGGGACGTGGTGGGACAGATGCGGAAGGATGGAGCAGTGTGACGGGGCGCGAGGCCCGGCCACTCTGGGGCTTCTACGGGGGACTACAGCGACAGAGGCAATCCACTCAGCTCGGGTCATTGAAAACTTGAAGAAAGTTTTAACAAGTTCCTTACCAGAAATTGTATCTGGCAAGAAAGTGCCAGGACTCCAGTTCTTATCATTCATCACTTCTGATCCCCAAAGACTTATAAATTTAGAACTATTCCACTCTGGAGTAGTCCCAAAACAGCTCGGATAAATATGGTCTTGAAGAGATGCATTGAATACCTGATGCTTATTTGTGTGATTCTGAACAGGTGCTGGCGGTAAAGCCTACAAAACAAAAGTTCTAATCACATATCAAAATTAATATTCTGTTTACCTAATGGTTAAGCTACAGACAGACAAGTCATTATTGGAAACCGGGTGGGATACGCTTGCCGTTAGAGGTGCCCCTGGTTGAACTTGGCTCCCAGAGCGCTTCCCGGATTGTGGTAAGGCTGCATGTGACAGGTCAAACTTGAACCAGACGTAGATTTTGAAAGCAACAGATGCCTTAAGGAAAATATAAAACCTTAGACAGCTCAGTCACTTCTAACATTCCTCCCTGGTCACATTTTAAACGTGGCTCATTTGCATCAGATCGGTTCCTATGGTTTATTCTCATCTGACATTTTAATGACCACTGCTAAAAAGTCAACTTTGGAATCACTGATAAAAAAAAAAAACGGCAAAACTCTTAAACTGTTTTCTCACGCTTGAGCAAGGAGCAGTGGAATCTGAAGAAGTGCGCTTTATGTTGCGCTCAGAAGCCGCTGGGCCTCTGGGCACGCCCTTGTCTAAGGAACCCAGGGAGGGTGCTGGGCATCCTCAGGCCCTCCCTTCCCCTCAGCCCATACCTCACAGCCTGCGCCACCACCTGCATGGCGGGGACAGCCCCACACTCACACCTGGCCCCTTTCCAGGCCTCCTCCTCAGTAGCCAGAGCGTGCTTTTTTGAATGTAAGTAAGAGCACGTCACTCCCCTGCTTAAGATTTGCAGCTGGCTTCCCACTGTTCTTAGGCATAAACGTGGCCCGCCCCTCCTGTCCTTCGTGCTCGCTAAGCCCCCGGACACAATGAATGGCCTGCCCACGGTCCTCACACTGCAAGCTCCTTCTTGACCCTGACCTTTGCTCATGCCATGTCCACGTTCTAGAACGTCCCAACCTCACTGACTGACATTCACCCTTCTGGCCTCAGCCTAAATGTCACTCACTTCCTCAGAGAAGCGTTCGCTCTCACCACCCAACACCCAAGACCAAGACACTGCGCTCCATGATTTTTGCTCTTAGCACTTACCGCAGTTATAATACAAGACTTACTGTAACCCACTGGTCAGCACTGCCTCCCCTCAGATTATGTAAGCTTCATGGGGCCATGACCCACATGGACCCTGGCCCTGCCGTCCAGCACCTGGCTGATGCCGGGCACACAGCTTTCCCTTAGCAGGCCTGTACCCAGGGACTGGCCCTCCTGGAGAAGCTGCCAGCCTGGCATTGGGAGCACTGTCTGGTAAGCCCACCCTCTGGGACACAGAAAGAGCAGCGAGTGCTGTAAGCTTGAGTGGGAGGGTTTTAGGCGCACCCCAAGAGCCGGCGATGGCTTGGCAGATCCCTGAGGGCCTGGCTGGGCAGAGGGCTGAGGGCTGAGGGGAAGGGGCCAAGGCACAGGGACAGCCCGTGTCCCTGGACCACTGTGCCACAGCCTGATGGGCTGCACAGGCCAAATGAGAGATACCTTTGTATGGCTTCTATCCTGAAGGGGCGAGGGAACCACCAAGGGTTGTAAGCAGCAGTTTGGGCTGATCCGTGTGTGGCAGTGTGGTGGACGACCCAGAGGGGAAAGGGTGACAATGACAGTAGTTAGGGGTGAGAAATGATGAAGCAATGGCCGCAAAGGCGGGCCCTGGGGACAACCGCTGTGACTGGATGTCGAGACCGGAACTATCGTCCGTGGCTCTGTTCCTGGGAGGTGGACAGTGACGGCGCTGGTATGAACTCTAGTCCCACTCTCAGCCTCACACTGCACAGTCTGAGGGTGCAGATGTCAGCTCTCCCTTTACTAGCTGTGTGACCTCAGGCAGCTTACTCAAGCTTTCTGTGCTGTAGTTTTCTCGTCTGTAATTTGGAAACACCTACCTCCAGGGGTTGTGGTAAGAATAGTCAGGCAGTGTATGTCAAGTGTTCAGCATACTGCCTGGCCCCAAGCAAGCATTCGGTGAGTGCAAAGTTGGGGCAGTGTCACTTTGTGAGCCCGGGTCCCTGGACACACACCCCACCCAGCATTGCAGGCTTTGGCGCCCTCCCGCAACGCAGACAGGACACGGGGGTCACTCCATTTGGGCAGCTGAGCCCATCTGCTGACCTTGACCAGGCTCAGGAGGCAAAAATGGAGGGTGAGGATGGCACCAACACTCAAGATTTAAAAGTGGAAAGAAACGGGTCTGGACTGGCTGCTCAGGATCAAACCAGGAGCCCGAGCTGGCTGTTCTGCCAGGGGAGCCCCAGGGGGCACAGAGTGAGGAGAAGAAAAAAATGATGTTTCAACACACACCAGTTGCTACAAGGTAGTGGCACAGTAAGCTGCTTTGCTGAGAAGGAATTGATGTAAAGTAATTAAATGGAAGTTTCTCAATCTTGAAGACCTCTGCTAAGGGGCAGAAACGCCTGATAGGTGGAAGCAGGGGTTTCCCGCACTCACCACGCCGGCTGTGAGAGGCAGCTCTCCTCACCAGCCCAGCGGGTGACTCAGCAGCAGAAGCACTGTCAGGGCTCTGCAGCTCCCCAAGCCCTTCTGGAGACCCTCCTAAGACACGGCCTCGTGCTGTGCCTTCGCCTCAGGAAAGTCTGCCTGACAGCCTGGACCCACCACCCAGGTGTGTCCAGAGAGCTCTCGCTTATCCTTCAAAACCCTATCCTAGTATCACTTCCTCTGCAAAACCACCCCACAGACTCAAACAGGGAGCTTTCGCTCTCAGTGCTCTTTTCTATTTCGTGTCTCCAATTTCTATTAAGGTATGTCATAGTATTTTGATTTTATAATTTGGTTATGTTTTTGTCTTCTTTTTAGACTATGAGATTCCTGAAAACAGGGACCAGGAATAACTGGTTTTTATTTTCCTAGCATGTAGCACAGGGCCTGGCACATACTGTGTGTTCAGTAAATGTTGGAAAGACTTTGGCTTAGAGGACTAAGGGAACACAACACAAGCCTGTAATACTGGAAATGGAAGTGAATGATTATAGGCCAGGGGTCGCAAACAGCGGCTCGCGAGCCACACGCGGCTCTTTGGGTACGTTCCGTCTCAAAAGTTTGCTGACCCCTGAAAAAGCCAATCCTGTCCCTCACCACAATTTAAAAATTATTTGAGAGCCATAAATATATTTTTACAAATAAAAAAATTTTAAGTTATATTATAAATGAAACTATGATAGTTTTATTTTCATTTTCAATTTCACTTCAGAGCCACATGTACGTACCCAAAGAGCCGCATGTGGCTCGCGACCGCAGCTTGCTGACCCCTGCCCTATACAATTGATCCACATGCTTCTTCAGAGGCCAGTCTGCTCCAAACAGGAGACCCAGGTGCAGACACCACAGGGAGCGGGGTCCGTAACAGACAAGCTGTATCCTTACGAATGCTTTCACACAAGACACCTGCTAACCTCAACAGCTAGGGTTTCCTTCAGGAAACAAACAGGCATGTCAACTAGGCTGTTTGGGGCCCTGCATCTGTAAATACACCAGTGATGTGAGCATGAAACAAGTCTCTCACCACGGGGCAATGCTCGACACTTAGAACACTGGTTTCACTCTCTCTGCAAAGCCACACTGCTTCAGTTAATAACAAAGATTTCAATTGTTCTCCACTTTTGAGACCAAAGTGATTCACAGGAAAGTGAAACTTTTGCTTTAAATGAATCTCTGACATGAACGCACGCACACGGCCAGATGCCCTCACTGAGCACGCTCTTAGGGGGTCACACAGGAGGTGAAGACCCAGCCTGTCTGGCACACCACCATGCTGGTCGCAGAACCGCCAGCGCGGATGCAGAAGGTGACAAACCGGGAAGCGAGAGGCGAGCCACTGTCGCAGGCATGAGAAAGACTGCCAGCACCGACTATCCAAACAGAAGGGGTTCCCCTTACACCCCAGGGGACAACACAGTTAAGAAGACAACTAGTCTGCTTCTTCTTACTAAGGTTCTTCAATAGTCCTGCCAGAGACGGTGCAGAGGCACAAGCACCAGCTCTGGTTTGCTCTTGCTATTTCTCATGCCAGGAGAACTGAACACGGCCTCTGAAACAAAATACAGACCAAAGATCACAACGTGAACCCCAGTAATGCAACCCACCGATGTCCCTGTTTACACGCAGCTTTCTCCTCCCTCCAATTCCAACCTGTACCAAATTCCGACATACATGTGGGCCAGGCTCAACTTTATGAAACTTTTGCAGTGGTTGTGCTTCAGTGACCCAGGGAGGGAGGTGACAGGTGCACACAGCCCAGGCCACGTGGGAGCTACTTTACCAGGCTCCGCTTAATCCACAGAACTCCCTGAGGCGACCTGGTGACCACTTTCAAATATTCCTCAAGCTCCCAGTGGAGATTTGAAGACATCTCTCTACCTTCATTACTAGACCCTTTCCCAGCACGGTGGCTGTTTCATAACACGTTCTCCAGATGGAAAAGACAAGATTTAAAGTTGGAAGCCTAGGGTATCAGTTCAAAGTCTGGCACTGCAGACTTCATGGCCTACTGCTCCTGGGTCACGTGAGACAAAGGCTGACATTGCTCTGTGAGGAAGCCCCACCAGTTCACATCTGTTCTTCTCTTTAAGGTCATGTGTTCTCCCTCTGTTGGGCCTTTGTCCACCAAGAGGGGACACTTCACTCTAGATCCCAGATAAACAGCACCAAACATCTTCGTAAGAAAGCGCTGAGGCCACAGAGAAAGCAAGGTAAACCTTCCACAGAGAGGTGATAAGAACATGGTGAGACAAACAGGGCCCGGTGGAGGTGTGGGGAAGGGATGGCTGCCATGAGGGTGCGTGCACACACCAAGGTGACAGTCCTGGCGGATGGACCTGTGGTCCCAGGGAGGCAGGAGAGCTAGAGACTGTCAAGAGGAGCTGGAGGACCCCCGGTGGGCCAGCCTCTGGAAACGACTGTCTCGAGCCAGCACATGGAAAGCCCTTTTGAGGAAGCATTCCCTATTTTGGGCCTTGGGGTTCTCACACAGTAAGTTGAACAAAACATGACCTCATAATAAAAAATTACTATACATATAA